CCAGTCTCAGAAGAGCATGGGCCCCTCCCACCACCTGGCCAGGCCACCCCAGCCTACCTGGGCCCACACTCAGCAGGCAGCTGTTGGCTCAGGCAGGCCCCTTGGGTTAGAGTCAGGAGGCTCAGCAGGAGGGCGAGCAGCCTTCGTGGGGAAGTCACCCCCACCTCCCCTCCCTGCTAAGTGGGAGCTTGGGATGTAATGAGGAGGAACCAGTTCTGCCCCTTCCCCGTGCTTCCCCTCCAGCAGAGCAGCCCAGGCCCTCACTGTGGCTGGCCTGGCCCATACATAAAGGTGACTTTTAAGCCACATGTTTCTCCAGTTTTCTTTTTTTTCTTTTTTTCTTTTTTTTTTTTTGCCAGGCAGAGTTAGACAGTGAGAGAGAGACAGAGAGAAAGGTCTTCCTTCCATTGGTTCACTCCCCTAATGGCCTCTACGGCCAGTGCTGCGCCGATCTGAAGCCAAGAGCCAGGTGCATCCTCCTGGTCTCCCATGCGGGTGCAGGCCCAAGCACTTGGGCCATCCTCTACTGCCCTCCCAGGCCACAGCAGAGAGCTGGACTGGAAGAAGAGCATCTGGGACTAGTACCCAGCGCCCCAACCGGGACTAGAACCCAGGGTGCTGGCACCGCAGGTGGAGGATTAGCCAAGCGAGCCACAGCGCCAGCCCAGTTTTCTCTTAAACCCCGAGGGCATGTGATAAGGTACTGGACCAATACCCCCTGCATTCCCCCACCAGGCAGTAGAGGGACCAGCACCTTTAGAGTCCAGGCCTGTGTGTGCCTGGCTGCCCACCCGCTCCCCACTAAGCCACCCTGGGCCCTGAGGCATTGGCTTCTCACTGCTGGGTTCGGCTGGGCACATGGTCACTCCTCTGCATGGAGGTGGAGCCACGTGCAGCCCCATTTCACTTGCTCCCATGTGTGCCCTGGCCAGAGTAGACAGCACCACGTGCCCCTGCAAGACTACAACTCCCATCCAGCCCTGACCTTGCCTTCCCGCAACTCTCCTGGGGTGGTCCAGGGTCCCAGGCCCAGCAGCGTAAGCGTTTTTTGAGGGCAGTGTCAACTGTGGGTGTTCCACTCATGTCACTGAAGCTTGGGAGCAGCGCTGTCTGAAAGCTCTGTGCAGTGACAGGCCTGTCCTGTATTTGCTGTGTCTGGTTGGCAGCCACTAGCCACCCACAGCTACCGAGCACTTGAAATATGGCCAGTGCAGCCGGGGAGTGGTGGGGGAGCCTGACTTGAGCTCAGTGTAATTGTAATCCCCTACCTTTGTACAGTCACCTGTGCCAAGTAGCTTCCTAGGGTGGCTTGTATTTGTAGAATACCCTTGGAAAAAATATCCCCTCCTGGACTCTAAGGAGGCTCCCAAGGTGTGGACTGAAGCTCTGGCAGATAAATGATGGAGATTTAAAAAAAATGCCAGGGGCCAGCGCTGTGGCATAGCAGGTTAAGCCTCTGCCTGCTGTGCCGGCATCCCATATGGGTGCCGGTTCGAGTCCTGGCTGCACCACTTCCAATCCAGCTCTCTGCTATGGCCTGGGAAAGCAATGGAAGATGGCTCAAGTGCTTGGACCCCTGCACCCACCTGGAAGACCCAGAAGAAGCTCCTGGCTCCTGGCTCCTGGCTCCTGCCTTCGGATCGGCGCAGCTCTGGCTGTTGTGGCCAATTGGGGAGAGAACTAGCGGATGGAAGACCTCTCTCTCTCTCTCTGCCTCTCCTTCTCTCTCTGTGTAACTCTGACTTTCAAATAAATAAATTAATTTAAGAAAAAAGCAGCCAGGAGAAAGGAGTTAGGGATTAGAACAAGGGTGGCCTTCTCCACCCTGAGGGGGACAGAGCTGACAGAGCCTGTGATGTGTGACTCGTTCTGTTTCTGTAGGAAGGAGGCAGACTTGGAGCTGAGCCAGAAGCTGTCCTGGCTGGAGGCCCAGCACGCCACGCACTGTGAGAGCCTGGCCCTGCAGCACCAGCATGAGAGGGACCAGCTGCTGCAGGCGCACCTGCTGCAGGTGCACGAGCTGACGGCGCAGCTGGACCTGGAGAAGGAGCGGCGGCAAGGGAGGGAGAAGGAGATCCTCGTGCGCTGCCAAAAGCAGCAGCTGAAGCTGCAGGAGGCGATGAGTGAGGAGCAGGCTCAGATCTGCAAATCGTTTGCCCTCGAGAAGGAGAAATTAGAGCTCACCTACAGGCAGCAAGTGCAAGGGCTTGCCCAGGAGGTGCAGGCCCTGCAGGCCCTGCTGCAAGGTAGGCTGACGGTGGCAGGTGTGGAGCAGGAGGGTGCACATGGCCCTGCACCCCTGTGTCCAGGCATTGTGGAGCGGCCACCTGCTAAGTGGGAACCAGATGCTGGCGGAGAGACAGGGGAGCTGGCAGGAGATGGGCCTGGCCAATCTTGCTGTGTGGACGCTATGCAGAGCCCAGCTGCGGCCCCTGCCTCTCCCTTGGAGAGCATCAGCCTCAGAGAGAACCCAGGGGGGTTGCCCGACACCGAGGAGGTGGCTTCTGTTCCCTCAGAGACAGAGTCACATGTGCAGCCATGTGGGACGGACAAGGGAGGTGACCCAGATCCAGTGCCTCCCAACAGGGCGCCAGGGAGCCTGAGCTGGCCTGAAGCCCAGGAGCTGCCCTTGCAGGGAGCAGAGGCAGACGACTTGCCAGCTCCACCCCGGATGACGGAGCCGCGGCTGAACTCAGACTCTCTGGAGGAGCCAGCCCCTGCAGGGAATCTGGGGCAGGCCAGGGGTGGCGGCAACACCCTGGACACTGAACTCCAGCCCTGCAAGGGGGCAGCCCAGAGGGAACCCTTGCTTTCCCATCCCGGGCTCCCAGATGGACAGGAGCAGCTTGCCATCCTGGGGCAAACAGAGGACGAAACCGTGCTGGAGAGAGAGAGAAATGACATGAAAACCAAGCTTCTGCAGCTGGAAGACGTCGTCCGAGCTCTCGAGGCAGCAGCGGATTCCAGAGACCATGACAGGTTTGGTTTCTACGCACCCGTAAGCCACTAGCCTGTCTGTCCCCAGTGCCTGCCACGTGAGTGCTTTCCCACTGGCAGAGCGACTCTGCAGCCCTGATGCCTGTGTGGGCATTGTGAGCCCTGTGCCAGCCTCCCAGGTCCCTGGGTGCTCAATCAGGGTGCAGAGGGAGGCGGGCAGGCCTTTCTGGGCAGCTCAGCAGGCTGTCAGGTCCAAGGACAAGGACCATGTTGGGAGCCCCCATGTTAACCTTGGGTGGCCTGGGAACCCTCCCCCTGAGTTTGAGAAAGGTGAGACTGGTGTGGGTGGCCATATGCTGGGAGTGGATTTGCATAGGAGGGGGCGTTGTGGGAGGGGCCTCTTTAGCCTGGACAGGTGGACCCAGATGGGGCCATTATCTAGCTGAGCGGTGCTGTGAGGAGGATGACCTTGTGGGGCATCCACAAGGAGTTAGTGGGGAAGGGGAGGATCTGAGAGGTAGACCCTCTCTCCTATAGCCAAGGCCAGCACAGGGGCCTCAGAAGGGCCCTGTTAGAGTGTTGCCATAGAAACGATCTCAGAGCTGAAAGGAGGGGAGAGGGCAAGTTGGAGGGAAGAGGGGAGGGAGTACCTTAAGCCTCAGAAAGGCAATGGGTCTGCCAAACATGACTTCAGAGGGGCTGAGCTGTAGGGGCTTCTTTGGCAGAGCTCTAAGCTTTAGGAGGGCTAAGGGTAGGACTTTTGTCCAGTGTAAGTGGAGTTCGATGCAGTTTGGTGAGGGTTTCCTTTAAGGATCTGTTACTCCTCTCGACCTTTCCTGATGATGGAGGCCTGTAGGGAATATGAAATTTCCAAGGGACATGTAAGTACTGAGTGACTTGTTGAGACACCTGGGAGGAGAATTCGGGCCCATCGTCTGATTGGAGGGAGAAGGGGAAGCCAAAACCTGGTGTAATTTCTGTTAGGAGGAAGTAGGCGGCAGTGGAGGCTGTTTTATTTGCCTCGGCCCACCCCAGGAAGGTGTCGATGAACACAAGGAGATGTTTAACTCTGCACACAGGTGGCATGTGAGTGAGGTCTGTGTGCCAGTCTATGGCAGGAGGGAGCCCTGCATCTGGTCAGTGGGGGACTTGGGGGTGAAAGATTGGTGCCCGGGGTTTGTCTGTTGGCAGGTGGGGCAGGTCTTAATGAAGCTTTTTAGAAACTGTTGGTCTAGGGCTTGTAGGGATAGGTGAGTCTTTACAAATTGCAGTATGACTTGAGTGGGCAGATGAAAAAGGGAGTGTAGATTTGAGAGGATTTCGGGGATAGAAGGGTTAGATGGGTGATGGGATGGTTTTGAGACGCTAGCTGTCAGGGAGCTGCCCAAAGGGTGAGTGAGGGCAATCTGTTTTGTTGCTTGGTCTATGCTATGATTTAAAGTGGTCAGGGGGGATTTATCTCTTTGGTGACCCCGACAGTGGAGTACAGCGGCTTGTTTGGGAGGGGGGGCTGCGTCGAGAAGAGCTTTAGTGTGAGAGGGAGTGAGAAAGCCGCGTTCTCTCCAGGTTAGGATATTAGAGTGAAGAATATTACAGCGTATTTGGAGTCAGTGTGGTTGTTTTCTTGTTTGTCTTTTGCTAGTGTGACAGCACGGGGGAGTGCAATAAGCCCTGCCTATTGGGAAGTAGTTCTGGGTGGCAGGGGCTATGCTTCTAATACGGAGTGTTTAGGGGGATTAGAGATGTTTTCTTGTATGATTGCATATCCTGCCCCATAGGGCGGTGTCTTTTGGGTACTGCCATCAACGAACCAGTAGGGGATGCGGGGATCTTGGAGAGGCTCGGCAGTGATATGGGCAAAGGTTGAGGCTGAGATCTAAGACCTCGCAGCAGTTGTGTGTTGTAACTTGTGAACCTGGGGTGCAGAGGGGGAGAAGTGTTGCAGGGTTTAGAGGAGCATGGTGAGAAGGATTAGGTCGGGTGACTAAGAGAGCAGGTAGGGTCTGGACCCTGGAAGGGGGAAGAGACAGAAAAACCCAATGGCTCA